AAAAAAAAAAAAAAAAATTGAATAAAATTTTTACTTTTTTGATTTTTTTTTTAAATTTACAATATTCATTTGAGAGCAGATATAGTATTCTTCTTAATCTTTGTTCATCGGCAAACAAAATCTGAAGATTACTGTGCTTTTTTTTTTTTTTGGATAGCTCAATACTCCTCTGTTTTTTTTTTACATTTTAACAGCAAAACCACATTGAAGTTAGCATCAAATTTCTCTTTTTTTTTCACCATTTATTCCCTTCAATCGCTGTGATTTTAAAAATTCTTTTAGTGGAAAAATACAGCACTTTTTTTGGCTTATTACTGCAGTTATTTTTTTTTTTTTTTGTGTGTGTGTGTGTGTGTTTAAGGAAAAAAATTTTAGTAGATTAAAAGTTTTACAGTTAGAAAAAAAAACAACTTTTTGTTTTAAAAATTTGTACTCTATCGTTCTTTTTTTTTTTTGCAAACATTCGAAGAAATGTCTGTATACCAGAAAAACTGTTGGTGATTTGTTGGTGAACTGTTTTTTCTCATTCAGTAATTCTAATAGCTGACAAATAAACAAAAAAATTTTAGCAATTTTTAGAACAGTAAGCATTTTTAATTAATCAATTATCAATGTTCACATAGACTGGCCAACTTTATTTATTGACAAAAATAACAGTATAATAATCAAAATTTTTACATTAAAATTAAACAGATGAAATACATTAAGGATAATAAATCTGATTCAAAAATGTCAGTAGCTATCTATATGTAATAATGCATTTGGCAAGTTAGTGCCACAGACACAGGTAAAGCTCAAGTTATTAAACACTGACCTCAGAAAACGCTATCCACATCTGTCTCGTTTTCTCGTATTTTTTATTTTTACAATACTATAAGCATAAAAGTTAAGTGACCCTATTAATACTGTCTATGAGTAATAAAAAATTAGGTTAAATATTTGAAACGACACTGTACCAACAACAACTGTTTGATGCGATATTCAGATAACATCTTAGTTTGGTGATAAAAGCATTACTTATTAAGAACATCAAAGTTTCAGCGTTTTTTCAGTAGATTAAAAGACCAGTGAAAAATTGTAACCAAAAAAAAAAGCGTCAAATATACTGCTGTTTCAAATATTTGTTTGAAAACTGTATTACTCTTCGTGTACACCGGCCAACTTAGGCACCATTTATAAGCCACTTCTGTTTTTACTCAATCTTTTAATATGCATCAATTTTTCTTTTTTTGTCATATTTGATCAGTGCATCGTCTGTTCCGCTAAATGTCAGTAATTAAGAACAAAAGTTTTTGTCAGCAGTTTAAAATAGCACATCAAAATGATTCTTAAAACAAGATTTACCACACGTGACACTTGCTTATGCCCAGTAGGATAAAAAAAGTTTCCAGTTACCCAGCAAATTTAAAGTATTTGATCGAAAAAAAATACAATTAATTTTAAAAAATGCTGAACTGATCGTTAGCGCTGAAATTTGACAATAGCAATGAAGCTGTAATTACATTTTAATTCCTCTTCATCTTTCACTACTAAAGTTTACTTTTTTCAAGCATAACAGTATTTCTTTCGAATCTGCTATTATTCTGT